CTTACAGATCATTTATCTAAAAAAAGTTGGTTTAGTTACTCTTTAAGGCGAGACACGGCAGGCAAAAACATAGATTTTTACATGCAGTGATCAGTTTTGAGATTTTGGGCTAGTTTACTCCTTCAATATGTGTTCTTTCAAGTTGCTATAAAGAAAACGTTGAAAATATACATTAAGATGTTTATTTTATTACATTTTGTTTACTTGCGGCAGTAAATTTCTACCGAATTTAGCGCGTCATGCTGTTTACTGAAGTCTGTCATGACCGGTATCGTTGCAAAGCTCTGAATGTCCTGCACAATGCTCTGTAACCCAAATATGGGTATTTCTATCAGTAACCAATCGTGAATGCCCAAAGCGTGATTTAAAGCTAATGACAAAATCTCATTGGCTACTGCTGGTTTCTGCTAACGTGATTCGCTCGGGCGCATCACGTGGTGTCCTCTGCCAATGTTAATTCATTGAGTTACTGCAGTTGTAGGCCTTACATGCCTGCCATATTATTAAATAATTAGTTTTCATGAGCTTGAAATATTATATATTATTATTACTAAGGGCCTGAGCATTTATTCTGCTTTTGAGCAGTTTTTTCCAATAGAAATTTATTAAATTCCCTACTTAAATCTTTAAATGCCTTTTTCTCAAAATGAGTATTTTGGCATTCTCCAGTCATTCACCAAACTTTACAGTTATACAGTTATACAATATCTTATACTGAAGATATTTTCAGAGGGATTTGTTAATAAATCATTCCTGGCCTGATTAATGTGACATTTTAATTAAAGAAATATGTCGAAAATTGATTTTTTTAAGGGTATGGACAATATATATTTTGATTTCCTAGGTAATGAAAGCATATATCCTGAAATACCTCTGAACTTTTTTAATCTTGTGTGTAAACAAAATGAAAAAAGAATTTTGCACCTGGCTTTATCATTATGTTCATATCTATCTACCGAAAATATATGGAAAATATATTTTCGCCTTTAAAAAAGTGCCACTTATTTGAACCGTTTATAATAAATTACACACTTTACTTTTAAGAATAAACCATTTAAGGCCAGTACAAATGAGCATTAATCTAAATATCTAGTAATTACCGAACTGGATCTGATGGCTAAGATCATCAACGAGTGCAGTTGAGTGTTGCGGTCTGCAATCAGCACTGCATGAGCTAATGTTTCGATTCAGAAAATCATTTCACTCTTTCTCTCAACGTCCTTGTTAAAAAGACCAGCTTAGACTTGAAAAAGCTTCTTTTTTAGTGCATGTTTTGTGCTGGTTTATGATGGATCAGTAGCCATGCCATTTATGAGGGTGAAGAAATGATCGGAAAAGTAGGAAGGTCAAGATGAGTTAATATTTAATATCTCGACTCATGAATATTAATTATCCAACGTGACGTACAAACACGCACTATCCATAGCAGGAACTTGTAAATCTTTTGTTTTGTCGTGGTTGGCTAAAATGTGTTTTCTTTCCACTGTGGCAAAGCAAATCAAAATCCTCAAAATACAGTATGATGATTATTTCTCAGCAGGTCTTTCTGGTGAAGCTAGTTGACACGTGAAGCCTTCCTGACAAATGAACTCATGCATTCAAAACACGATGGTCTTTTCAGCATGGACGTGCCTTGTGTGCCGCTTTAAGCATGCATGCAAAATGGGTGCCTGTATGTTTCTGCAAAAACTCAATTGTTTGGTGCAGCCACTACCAAACCTAATAAACGTCATTAAGAGTCAGCCAAGAATTTAAGCAGCTAAATGGCCTCTCATTTCCCCCTAAAGAGTCTACAATGAAAGCCTTCAGTTTTCTGCATTAGCTGTCTGAAAATGTTGAAGGAGGGGAAGAAATGAGGAAACACTCCTTCTTGGCAAGCTGCATGATTAGTCTGTTAGCTGGCACAAGCTAAGGTCTCCCTCCTTTCAAGGAGTGAGGAAAACAGGAAGAGAAATAGAGAGTGAATTCAACTTCAGGAGAATTCTGTCTGGGGGATATTCTTCTTAAAAACAGACGCTTTTTTATGCAAAAACACACATTCTCTTCAGCTAGGCTGGTGGACCCACTGGGAACCAGTGCAATCTAGCCTCATTCATGTGTACGGCTTTAGGAGTGAGGGGATTTTAAATTCCTTTTGCGTCAGCACAAGTCTTGTCTGCAATCCGCCGAGCTTTGTCATGGTGTGGCATTTGTGTCTGCATTTATATTAGGCCCTGTTTACACCTGACTTAATGACTTAATTGAAATACACATGGCGCAGAACAATACCAGCACAAATTGTGGCTGGTACAAATAAAAAGCGGCTAGGTAGTGAACGATTCAAAGTGAATTATCCCCTATGTGTTCCCTGTCGGGGGAGAAAACCTAGCTTAAGCCAGCCTAATGCCTGCGGCTCAGATTACACGATTTTTTTTTTTGTCTGTTACGATAGTCACTGTGTCAGATTACGCGATTTTCACTCCTAACATCTTATCACGACTACACGTTGCTTGTACTTTACTTGGACTAAAGTACTTTGGTACACTTCCCCATCCCTAATATATATGAGTGCGTATAAAGGAAAGTATCAAAGATCACACATACAGTTGAGTACTTCTCCCAAAGGCACATTTCAATAACTCAATTCCCAGTAAAACAACTCAAATATACTGTTGAAAAGACCTGCTAGACCAGTACTAACCAGCCTTTCAAGCAGAAACAAAATGGCTTTGCAAAACATCACACAAAAGAAACACATATTTTACAATGCAGTGACTTAGCCTTTGTGGCAATCCACTGTTGTGCGTCAACGGTGAATGTATCAAGTGAAGGTTGCCAACTTTGAGACTTTGGCTGGAGTGAGGCTATAAATTTCAGTGCGCATGCAAGTGGAGAAATTCTTAGGTCATTTAAAAAAATGCCAGGCCTTGTTTACTTAGTATAAAACCTGATTAATGCACACACACAAAAATGAATGGGAAACAAATGTTTTTGTTTTTTTTCAATTCAATGATTGCACTATAAAAAAAGAGAGGTGATTAAACATTTAAAACAACAACATTGAATCAATAAGAGATCTCAAAACAAAAACTTTTGAAATATTTCAGCAAGCTAATCTAACAAAACCTAAAGCGTTTTCTCATTAGAGAATAATGTGTTCAAGTTTTAAAGACGCGACTCATCCGGTGTGCGACAACCTTTAAACTCGTACGTCACGAAGTCGTTAAAGGAGTAGTTCACTTTCAAAAAAACTTGGTTGATTCAACCATAGATATCTATATAAAGGCTAGATATCTCGTCCACGCTGCTGGCCAATGGAGGTCGACGTCTGCACTTGGCGGCCATCTTGTCACAGGCAGCTCGCTCGCTCGTAACATTGTGTTAATGGTACATGCACTATTTAAATAACCATAACTTGCTCAATTTTCTACTGATTTTCAAACGGTTTGGTTTGTTATAAACGTCAGAGATGTAGTTATGACGCAGCATACTTGTGAATAATAAGTGTATAAATAAATAATCATCCAGATAAATATAGCCTCGGTAATAACGTTTGTAAGAAACCAAACCGTTAAGAGTATTTGTGTTCGTGTTGACCACTCATCTTACATCAGCTTACCTGTGACAAGATGGCCGCCGGACGAAAGGACATTTAAGACGAAATGACGAATTGACTCGGAAAATGATTCGTTCGTTTTGATGAACGAGTTCGAACAGGAGAGTCACGAACGCGCATCACAGAACAGACGAGCATTTCAGCTTATAAAACTTAAACTTTTAATTTATTTTTTAAATGAACGATCTTTTGCTTGATAAGACCCTTATTCATCGTCTGGAATCGTTTAAAGCCCTTTGAACAGTTTTTGGTCCTTGAACAGTTTGGTTACCAGTAAAGTCCATTAAATGGAGAAAAATCCTGGAATTTTTTAATCAAAAACCTTAATTTCTTTTCGACTGAAGAAAGAAAGACGTGGATATCTTGGATGACATGGGGGTGAGTAAATTATCAGCAAAAGTTTTTTTAAAAGTGAACGACTCCTTTAATATGCTGTGGTCTAGTCATCAACAGAAAAATGAGTGTCACGCCAGATGTGTGAGAGTTGGCAACCCTGGAATGTACGTGAATGTTTCTGTCAGGACCAGGCGTCTTTATGACTGTGATAAAAGTCTCCTTATAATATCATTGTGAAAAAAAAAAAAACATTTGAACAACATCCCACACTTTCTCGCTACAGTGCGCCTACAAAGAGCCTTTGTTCTCCCACAAGACAATTGAAATTTCCAAAAGGATTCCCACGGATTCTAAATGCAGCTCATGCGCTTGCCTTGGCATGAGAAAGTGCCAAAAGCATAGTGGCTCACAGGCCTACACGCGTCCATTTAGTGAAGCAGCCACTCCAAAGCTCATCGACAACGGCTAACGTTTCAACCAATGGAACGTCAAGACGGTGTTGTGGATTAATGCTTACACGATATGTGTGCGAGTGTGCTTTTCATCACAACAAAGCTGTAGGAAAAGAAAGAAAAGCATGCGCAGGAACAGATAGGAAAAGAAAAATAGAATTATTTCGTTTCATTAGGAAAGGTTAAATAAAGATACGACATTACGGGTGTTGTTAGGTATGGTTAAGAGGGAAAAGAAAACATGTGAAAAGAAGAAATAAAAAGCAACCCGGCAAACTGGCTCACACCAAGTGACTTCACATTGTACAAAGGCTTCTGGAGAAAATCCCGGACAGACAGGCCAACTAGAAATCCAACCACCAAGTAAAAGTCCCACCCACATTAAAGAAGTGTACATGATTGCCAAAATGTATCTGTATTTCGCGAGGAGAAACCCTTTTCCCACATTTTGCGTCCTCCTACGTGTAAGGGAGGTGGCGTGCAACACCGTGTCCTAACCAGGCGCCGAATGCTTTAGCTCACTGGTTAGGACACTGTGCTTGAGCTGGAAAGTGTATTGAAGTTTTACATCAGCACAGACTTGAGTGCGTGTGTCATTCCTGCATTGCGCCACTCACCGATGACCGTGGCGGAGAGCTCTTTCTTGGCAGAACCTAGACTGTTCTTCACTTCGCACACGAAAGTGGTGTTCACCGTTTCATCCACCTTTCTCACCAGTAGCCGGTTCTGATCAACAGATACCGAAGGCGGCAACTGACCCGAGACACTGGGGAAATCAACACATAGTTTTTGATAGCATGTTGGCTTATTTACTGAAAATACACTGTGTGAGATACACTGTTTGAGATATTAACTTGTATGGACAATGATTGCATTGTGTTATTTGTCTGTGTGCTGAAACAGGGTTTTTTAAGATACTTTAATGCACACTATTATATAATCACGCCTACGCCATTCGAAAACGTGCCAAATGAATCCATAAGTGTTGGATATTTGTCAACTAACTGAAAACTCTGCAATCAAACGGCTACTTCTAAGTGTCACCCAATAAGTCTTGCAAGTAAATGTTGTTTCTCGATGTGTATCGATTCATGCTGTCCTTTGTTTTGGTGAGAATATGAAGTTGAAGCAGTGAAGCATTAATAGGCTGTTGTTTTTATACCGCAGGCAAAGATGCTTCCTCAATTCAGAGCCAATTAGCCTGTGGCTGTTGTTTGCAGCAAAACTGCCATATTTGACTTTGTTTCAGTCATATTGGAGAACAGAAATATAAATATGAAATATGGATTCTCTTCAGACTAAACAAATGCTAATACAAAAAAAAAAAAAAGTAATTTTTTTCCTTTCTCTTTTGAGTAAATTCTGTCATATTTTACACACTCTCGTGCTGTTGTTTTTTTTTCTCTGTGGAAGGAGATATTTAGCAGAATGTCCAAGCAGTTATTTTGTACATTACACTTCAAAAGTTTGAAGTTGTAAAAAAAAGGATTTAAAAGGTTTAAAAATAAATATATATATATATATATATATATATATATATATATTAATAATTTATATGAATATTTAATCATTTATTAATAATTAATTATATATATATATATATATATATATATAATATATTTTTTTGCAATATATTTATATTATATATATATATATATATATATAATTTATATTAATATTTAATCATTTATTAATTATATATATATATATATATTAATAATTTATATCAATATTTAATAATTTATTGATTATATATATATATATATATATATATATATATATATTTATATTAATAATATTAATCATTTATTAATAATTAATTATTAATTATTTTTTTTGCAAGAATATATTTATATTAATAATATATATATATATATATATAATTTATATTAATATTTAATAATTTGTTAATTATATATATATATATATATATATTAATAATTTATATCAATATTTAATCATTTATTAATTATATATATATATATATATATATATATTTATTTATTTATTTTGCAAGAATGCATTCAATTGATCAAAAGTGACAATACAATCATTTATAATGTTACAATAGATTTCTATTTCAAAGTAATGGCGCTGAAAATTCATAAGAATAATCACACAAATATATAACAATTTAATATATCAAAAGAGACAACAGTTACTTAAAATTGTAATACTTATAATAAACATTATTTCTGTTTTTATTGTATTTTTTGATCAAGTAAATGCAGCCTTGGTAAGCTTACCTCAAGGTCATCCAAAATGTAGGTGTCATTGTTTCCGCAGTAGTTTCAATTTTGATATTTTTTAGGTCAAACCGTTCTTGTCAGTCATATAATGGAGGTCTATGGTCACCACCTCAAAGAGCATGCACAGAGAAGTCCAAATTAAACATGATTTATTGACTTGTTAATGTAAGTACGCATTGATGGCCTAAGACATGAAACGAGCGGTTTGTGTGAGAAAACTAAACAGTATTTATATCATTTTTAACTTTTGTTAGGCACAAAGCACCCTCGCCTTCAGATCACTTGGCGGCTGTGGTTACAAGAGGTAAAAACCACTCATTCCGTGTCTTAGGCCATCAATGTGTACTTATATTTATGAGTCATTAAATCATCTTTAATTTGGACGTCTCTGTGCATGCTCTTTGAGGTGGTGACCTTAGACCACCATTATATCTCCTTTTGAGTTCGACCAAAGAGAATCTTATGAGCTTGGAATGACATGCATAACTGATGACAGAATTTTAAACAGTTACTTAAAGTAATAAATGTACTCACGCTGTCCAGGTAACATTAGTGGGTTCTGGGTTGGCGTCAGCCTTGCAGTCCAAAAAGGCATCAGTTCGCCCCATGTACCAGTTATTGTCATATCCTTCTATTGTCACAGTGGGTGGGTCTAGAAAGAATGTGAGAGAGAGACATTCATCTGAAAATCCTGCATTGAAAAAGCAGTTCAAAGGCTGATTATCTGCCGTTCAGGGTGAAGGGAAGATACAGGCATGCTGAAGTTGGCACTGCCCTATAGACTCTTAAAGGGCTTTGACATGCAGGAGAAATGCAGAATGAAAGTGCAAGAGGTGAGGATGTTCCAACAGGGGCCTTTATAAAAAGAAATGGCGAAGTTGCAAATCTGTGACAACCTCAAACATTCCCGCTCAGCTATGCAAACACAGACACCTCAAACACTCTGTAAATAGCTTTCATGAAAAAAAAAAAAAAGCGAACAATGTGTTGTGGCAGAGGCGAAGATGCTAAAACGCATTTTTTTTTGATGAAAAGGAGGCTGGGTGAGGGAGAAGAGGTGTTATGAGCGAATGATAGGGGACGGATTATGAGTTCATGTGTGTGTCACTGAGAACGCACTTCTTTAAAGGATTAGTTCGGCCAGAAATGAAAAATCCGTCCCCGTTTACTAACTTTCGTGTCGTTCCAAAACCATTTGATGTTCTTTCTAAGAGAAGTTTTGAATAATCTGTCGGTTGGCTTTTCTTTTCAGTTACAATGAATGGGAACTGAAGCTTTCAAGCTTTAAAAAGGACACAAAAGCACTATAACTTTTGTGAAAGTCTTCTAAAGTCATACGATAGCTGTGTGAGGAACAGATCCCAATTTAAGTCTTGTATTTATTTATAATCTCCCTCCGGTTAGCTATTAACTGCTGTGATAGGAGTCAGTGAACTCAAGAACCGAATCGGTCTGATTCACAAATGAATCATTCAGACCAGGGCTGCTTTCCCCAAAAGGAGATTGTAGAAAATGTTGTTCCAATATATTGTATGGGTAAGCCTCTATTTGTAAACTGGATCAGATTTTTTTTTTTTTTTTGGAAAAGATCAGATTAACTGAATGGTTCATTGTTACATATCTTATGAAATTCTCTTATTTTAAAGCGAACTTAACAGCCTCATTAATTTAGACTGGCCAGGAAATTCTTCATAAAGTCACTCTTTGCTCCACAGAAGAAAAAGTCATATGGATACAGTGAGCAAATTATGAGAGACTTTCTATTTTGGGCGAACTACTTCTTGCAGTGTGCGTGTATGACTCTTACATTCCACCACCAGCTTCAAGTGGTAGGGTTTCGGTTCGTTCTGCGTCCTCTGATTCACCAAGCAGGTGATCTCCTTTCCGTTTTCAGCAGGTGTCGGGATCATCCGATACTCGCTCTTCACGGTCACTGTGCCGTCCATCTCGGGCACTGAAGTGTGGTTATAGCGGCCAGCAACAGCTGTAATCCAGGAGATTGTTGCCTCCGGTTTCCCTTGGGCTGCCTCACATCTTGCCACCACAACCTCAGAAGAGCCGGCTTGCACTGGGATGGCGGAAGCTGAGTTTTTGGGTTTAGCTGATGAATAGGAAAAAAAGATTTAAAAGAGAGGTTACAACATGAATTTGGTTTTCAATAGCCATTTTTAATCAAGTGGCGCTTGAGCTAAACAAACAAAAAAACATGCAGCAAAGCAACACAGTACTCAGACATGTCATTGACTCCTATTAATGGGATAATGTACTGTCAGCTGGTCATTTAAAAAAAAAAAATGATCTCAATAGGGAGTTTCAAACATTCAGACCTTATTACACAGCTACTTACCAAAGAAAAAACCTGAAATATTGATTGATTACATTAGAAGAAAGAGTGCAGAGTGATACAAGAGACATGCGATTAGCACAGTTATGTAGGAAACTGGATGCCTGGGACAATCTAGGATGGTCAATTATAGAGGTCATTATACAAAGAGTGGAATCAAGCATATCAGAGAACTGTGTAATAATGTCTGATAGGCGTTTTTTCAGTGCCTGATCCTGACATCAATGTTCCTGATGGCCAAGGAGGAGCTCAAATATTAAAGATAAATGGTGGCAACCAAATGTAAAACTGTTTGTTTGATTATTTATTTATTCATCATTTAATGAAAGCAGAAATTAATTATAATTAATTGAAATGATAAACTAAATTGCTGAAATTAAATAATTCGGTGGCATTAAAAAACGTTTTCATTCAAAAGTATATGTACGCAAATATTGATTTTTATTATAAATTGTAACGTGTGTATATAGTATATACAGTAGCAATCTTTTAAAATGTAATGCATGCATTTGAATGTTTAATGATTTTTAAAAGATAGAAAGATGATAGATAGATGCTTTGCTAGCTTTGGTCCATTAAAACCACTATTCATCAGCATGCATTGATTAATCCCATGGCATGTAGCAAAAAAAAAGGTAAAAATAGCAGTCTAATTTTCCAGCCTTAAGGCCCTTGCACACTTGAGTCCGAAAGTTTCGTACACGTATTTTCGTATTCGTGATTCTGTGGCTCTGAATTGTCAAAACATCATTAAAACTGCTTGCTACGGATGCGAAAAACGCAGAAAATCGAACCCTATTTGATTTTTTTTTTGACGAACGAAAGTTTCGGAGGTAGTGTGCAAGAGTGATTGACATAACGTGAGGTCGCATTTATTTGTTAACATGCGAAAATTTCTGACGCGAATTTTAAAGGGCCTTTACACTTAATCCACTAAAATGAATATAAAATTTAATGAAACCAATTGGGACATAAAATAACCCTAAATAAAACAATCACTGTGAAATTATACATGAATTTAAAATGTCTAAATACTGATCTTTATTATTTTTATCATTGTATATACTGTAAGATCATCTTACACACACACGCACACATATACACACACACATATATATATATATATATATATATATATATATATATATATATATATATATTAGGGCTGTCAAACGATTAATTGCATCCAAAATAAAAGTTTGTGTTTACATAATATATGTGGGTGCACTGTGTATAATTATTTTATATATGTAAATACACACACATGGTTGTATATATTTAAGAAATATTTTCATGTATATACTGTATATAGATTTATATATAATTTATATTATATATAAATATAAATATTTTATATCTAAATATTTTTTTTTCTTTTTAAATATTTTTTATATTTTATTTAAATATTTTTTATGTAAATATTTTTTTCTTTTTAAATATACAAGCATGTGTGTGTTTTTAAATATATACAAAATAATTATACACAGTGCACCCACATTATGTAAACACAAACTTTTATTTTGGATGCAATTAATCGCGATTAATCGATTGACAGCCATGCTGTCAAATGATTAATCGCGATTAATTGCATCCAAAATAAAAGTATGTTGTTCCATACATATATATATATATATACACACATACACATACACACTCACACATATATATATATATATATATATATATATATACACACACACACACACACACAGTATGTGTATAAGATGATGTAAGATGATTATTTCAAATTAGCCAAGCACATTTAAAAGCAAGTGGTTAACAACAATACAAGACGCCGAGTTAATGTTCTACTTGGTTTACCCAGGGGTAAACAGTGAAAGACAAACAGAGCGAGACGCTTGAACACAGCCAACATGGATAAACGGGCAGCCCTGATTCATACCATCACTCCGTCTCTGATGATAGCATTAGCTTAGTCATTCAAATGATGAATCAGGCTAATGGGTGACATTAGCGTTAAAGCAGACAGCAGAAATGCTATTGTGAGCAAAGCTAATGTAGTTTAGCCTGACTCCTAACTACGCCCAGAGTAGCAAAAGATTCAGCAGTCAAAGCATCAACCTTGAGGTATGTTGTTTAGGCAGATATTTAATGAACATTTAAAACATATTTGATAAAATTTTGTTGGCAATATAAAATTAGAAAACAGTGTAAAAGCTGCTTTTATTTTAATGCACTAATTATTTGGCCATCACATTTCCTAAAGACTATGCCAGCAGGCTAATTTCACACTCCGTGCTCATGTCAAGACTCAAGAGTACGAGAGCAGGGCTTGTTAAAACGCATCTCTGATTTTCACCAAAAGACTAAAATAAGCAACTGGAAAGTTCGTTTTGAACCATATCAAATCATTGGTTGAAAACACATTCAATTATACTACTGTATGTTTGTGTCACCATTTGCCATGGAACTTTATATATGAGTCTGTCTTGTTTCCAGGAAGCATTGAGGCAGGCCTATAAATAAACACAAGTGAGTTACTTACCCAGCATGATAAGAGTGGTCGTCCCCTGCTCGTTTCCACTGGGGTAAGTCGCGTACTCGCAGATGTACCTGCCAGCATCAGCCATCCTCAGTTTGTCGATCCTAATGGATGGGTTCTCCAGGGAGCCTTGTGTGAACTTAACTCGGCCTTCGAAATCTTTATTGGGGAAACTGGCTCCATATGTGGGGTGGAATACAGCAATGTTGTGCCTGTCACCCTCAACACGCTCAAACATCCACGAAACCTACGAACCAGAAAGAAATAGGGAATTAATCCTTGCATGGCATTGCTTTAACATACAACATGATGCCAGCCATCTGCTAGTTGTTTAAACTCAAGATTAACCATATGGATGGCGATCACATTGGACAATTACTGGGTCTGTGCTGAACTATCACTATATCTTACAGTTCTTCAACACGTACAGATGTTTCACTGATTGCCAATAATTAATATTCATGTATGCACTGAATAGCGTTGTTGTGAATTCTGCATATTTAAATATGCACTCATGTATTATCATCAAGCAGGCAGACATAGATTTTATCGAAAACTGCGATGATGACTTCTGATAACCTTGAAAGCACAAGTTTAGAATGGTGGTATCATTTTTTTCTGTATAAAATGTATAATTTTAAAGCTAATTCTGGCAAATTAAAAGGTATAATAAATTATTTGTGCAATTTTCTCCAGAAAACCTGCATGAAAAAATACACACATATATATATAAATTTCAACAGAAGTCATCATCACAGTTTTTGATAAAATCTGTCTGTCTGCTTGATGAGAGAGAGAGAGAGAGAGAGAGAGAGATTTATTATCAGCTATCAGTAATCAGCTAGTTATCAAACTTTTAAATGAAATTCTCTTATGCTCACCAATGGTGCCTTTATTTGATCAAAAATACAGTAAATAAATAAATGTTAATGATTTAAAACTCATTTAACTTTCCTTTGATCAAAGCTTAATTTTCAGCCAGTGTCACATGATCCTTCAAAAATCATTCAAATATGCTGTTTAAGAAACATTTCTTATGATTATCAGTGTTGGAAACAGTTGTATTGCTTAATATTTTGTATCTTGCGGGTACATTTTTTGGTCCCCATGAGAAAAACAGTATACAAATTATACACAATGATTTTTTTTAAATGGAAAAACGAAGACATTTTTCAGTGAGGGTTGTGTTTAGGTGTAGAAATGTATGGTTTGGGGATAGAATATACAGTTTGTACAGTATAAAAATCATTGTGTCTATGCATAGTCTCCATAAAACATGGACAACCAACATAGTGTGTGTGTACTGTATATATTTATTCAGGATAATAAAAAAAACAGTCATCTCAATGGCAAAAAGTATCCCAAATCATTGACACTTTGAACTAATCAAACTCATCTTGTCTCACCTGTGTAAGTTTGGTGCTTCCGCTGTCGGTGAACTCACAGCGCAGATTGACAGACCCATTTGGATGCGAAGTGACCTCATATTCTACTCGAACACGCTGACTCCAGACAGCTGCAAAAGAGGAAAGAGCGAAACATTAGAACTTCCCAATATCGTAGCCTATATTAAAATGATGAAAATGAAACCCAGACATCAGGCTAATACGAAACACACCACCAAAGTGACTGTTACATTCCTGAGCCTGAGCTTCCTCCGGGAAGAAAAAATACAGACTTAGACTGATTAGAGCTCAGTGACTTCACATCTATCTACTGCATGTGCAGACTGTCTCAGCATGAGACTTATCCTGCTTTGATTGCCCATAATTAAAGAAGAAAAAACTTGAGCTATCTCATCATCACAGCATTAATCTACACGATCAGAGCTCGGTTGAACAAATGCATCTGGATGAGAACAATTCTAAAAGTCAAGTGAAACGTTTTACTTCTATAATGCAATGCATTCCCAAGTGAAAAATAGATATTCAATAAAGAAAGAGTAGGGTTGCGCTTGATTTTATGCATAAATAACATGTATGGATGTTAACAGTTCTTCAGGGAACCACTGAAATCCATAAAGAACCTTTATTTTTTTAAGAGGAAATTAACTCATTAACTCATCATCAAAAGATAAAACAGAGCCTGTGCTTTAAAAAACATTTTATTCAAGCTTGCATTCTTTTTTTTATCAACACTTGAATGTGGGTTTCATTAAAAAGCATTGTTGTCAAAGACTACGCCTGGCTCAGATTTAGATTGATTATCAAAACACGGATAAAGTAGGTCATTTCCATGAGCACCCCCAAACCTTCACAGTCCCATACCTCGTCCTGTGCCGACATTTCATTCGGTAATGTAAGGAAATGTAGATTTTTATGCCATTTAATGTTTGATGATCACGTTAGCCGTTTCTGCACTCTTTTAGAAGATGCATAATAGCGCCCATCGTATCATAAGTGACGTAACATTTCGTAAATGATAGAAAAGCATTGTCATAAATGACAGAAAATTCCATCAAAGTTTGATCCAGGTTCACTTTAAAAAGTTTTTACATATACATACACACATATATATATATTTTAAGGCTGTCAATCGTGATTAATCATGATTATTAATCATATAAACGTGATTAATCGCATCCAAAATATAAGTTTGTGTTTACATAATATATGTGGGTGCACTGTGTATAATTATTTTATATACAAGTACACACACATGATTGTATATATTTAATAAATATTTTCAAGTATATACTGTATATAGATTTATAAACAATTTATATTATATATAAATATTTTATATAAAAATTATATTTTAAATTATATTTATATATATATATACAGTATATATACAGTATATATATATATATATATATATATATATATATATGTGCTAAATAATTATACACAGTGCACCCACATATGTAAACACAAACGTTTATTTTGGATGCAGATAATCGTGATTAATTGTTTGACAGCCCTAATATATATACTGTGTGTGTGTATATATATATATATATATATATATATATATATATATATAATTTCAGTAACTTTACTTAAATGACAATTAATAGGTAATCTTCATTGCCATTTAAGTGAAATTACTGAACTTATATATACAAGCTTGATAAAAATGATCATTCTAGAATAAAATTTCAAATGGCACTTAAAGGCTTTTACATCTGAACTCTTCATATAGTGTATATATATATATATATATATAGTGTATATATATAGTGTATATATATACACACCCATAGAAGTATTTCTAACTTTTTTAGGGGGAAAACAATTTAATCTTAATTATGTTCAAAGTCCTCATATTAATATGAACAGAATTTTAATTGTTTTTTGCTTGTGTGCAATATAATTAGTCTTAACTTTCTCAGCATCACCAACTAACACTTCTTACAGCAAATAACAGATGGATTCTGCAAACTGAAAATTACATTGCACACTTGACTTGTAAGTAATTAAGTGTGCAAATAATTAAAAATCATCATTAAAATGACGTTTCTGCTTCTAAAACAATTTTGCCCTTCAACATTACAGTCAAGTGTTCTAAACTTTATAGGGGGAGGCTAAAGCCTATAAAAGAAAATGATTGCACATTTATTAGCGCAATAAAAACAAACCTGTGATTCTATAACCCGCTATGAGCTGTTCTGCAGTCTGCATCACACTGATGGTAAACCGACACTGCATTGCAGTTTCAGACATAGCACTTTTAAAGTGCTTTCCTTCTGCATTTGAACATTTTGACCCGGTAGCCGTGATCCCAGACAGCGATCTTTGTGTCAGCACAGCATTCACTTATGGAACATTGCAAAGTTCAACTTTTTCAAAACTCGCTCGCTTTCTCGTTTTCTCACCCCACCGTATACAAAGGCAGGTTAAAATAAACAACCCGCGTTTTGACTCGGGTAGTCCGTCGACTCCAGCGAGCTCCTGTGGAGACAGAAGCGAGAGACCTCCAGCTCAGAGCTCTGGGAGTCAAAGGCCAGCGAACAGTGTGAGAGCTGCTCCATATATACTGATGGAATAAGAAATGGCTCAGTGCTCACAAACACACACACACATTCAAAAGCAGCAGCATTTGACAATCTACAGAAACATCAGCACACTCAAACACTCTAAAGACGGACCTGCAGATTGCATGTACCCTGGAGAAGGATTAAATAAATCTATCAAAGACAGGGTTGCGGCCACATAAAATGATACATAAACAGAGCTTGATTCTGTTATAGAAACGCATACTTTCAAACACAAAAGCATTCTCCGCTTATGCTATAACCCCTTCTCCACATTGAAAGGATCCAACTCGGTTTATGTTCCACAAAGGCATTAAATCGATATGACCTCATGCTCACAAACCTCCTATAAATCAGATCTGTTACCTAACACCGACTGAAAGGTATACGACACACTTACAGAAGATGCCAAATATTTGTAGTGTACTGTAATGTGTCTGTATTAAAAACCCTTAGGCTCGATGACTTAAGCTTGATTTCATCCATGATTGTGTCAAAAGACAATTTATATTGCAAATACGCCACTAGGCGTGCTAAAGCATCCATTTTCGTTTATGGTTAGGTTTTCCTTAAAGTCAAGGACTGCCATTGTGCAACAGTTGAAAATCAAGAAAATCTTGCCGAACAGCTTTAAGTTAGTTACATTGCCGTGTTTATCTAGCTGATTTACCTGAATAGCATCGAATAAATGTGGTTTAATGGCACAGACACAATATACGCCCCATTAAGCATTCTAATGATGTTTATATCTGTCACAATAATGCAAGAATGCATATTAGACCAGGTATAAACTTTACACAAAGACAACCATGAAGAAAAACAGCAATAAAGCAGTGTTTGTTAATGTCCACTATAGCACCCCTTGTGGAAAGGCTGAGAATGCAATGCAGTACCACATTTGAAGAACGAACTATGCGCACAAAATCGCAGTAGCACCTCATGCAGTACACAAGATCCAGGGGGCGGAGTCAGATGCAGATCTGAGGGGTGGAGTTGTGTAGGTTTAGGGGTGGGTTTAGGGATCAGGGGGTGGAGCTGGGTAGGTTTAGATACAGTATAGGCTTGTTCGACTTCATGCAGCTCTGCGCAGACCGATCGGCGGCTGACTTGAAACAGTGCATGCCGGTTAGAAATTTTGTCCGACTTGATGCAGCGCTGACTCCACGTGACTGTGACATATGCCATCAAAGTACCGCGAGAGCGATACGAGAGTAGCCGGAGGACTCAGCCAGCGCAGCTTCTCAAGAGCGGCTGCACGAGCTCTGATGATGTCACGGCTGTTCCACGATTCGCCGGATTCACCGCATGACAACGATCACGTGCGTTTCGTGTTTATTCTCACACCTTTAGTTCCACTAAAGCTCACAAATCAGTATTTTATAACAGTAAACACTCTTGTCATGTAGTCGCAATGTTATATTGTGTCATGTTTATCATGTTTATCAAAATAAAACTGATTAAAAAACGTTGATTCCACGTCATTGATTATAGGCTTATTTTGAACTTTATTCTAGTTCAAACAGATGCTGTATGAAGCAGTAAAGTATTAAATGAAAATGTGTCTGAAATATCTGTTTATTTGGCAAATGTTGCATTTATTTAACTTCAGCTGTGGTAAAGCATGCAAACACCACGTGAGCCGTCACTACGGGAACCAGAAATTGTCCGACTTCACGTCTCCGTTTGCAGCTCCTCCCCGCCTGCACGCGGCTGTTCTCGCCGATCGGTTGCATCCAGCCGCAGGCGATGTCGAACACACCTTATATGTAAGGTCGGAGGAGTTGGATCTGGATCTGAGGGGTGGAGTTGGGTAGGTTTAAGGGTGGGTTTAGGGATCAGGGGGTGGAGCTGGGTAGGTTTAGATATAGACCATTTCACAAGATGTAAACAACACTGGTCCAAAAACACTTCCTGTTTCAGTTTCTAACTGTTTTCTTTATTTCACATGTAAAGAAAGCATCTTAAAGATGTTTGTTTAACTTTTTGATTCAGTTTTAAATGTCCTGTTGGTTGTATTTTATCCCAGCTTTTATGTAGTGTTAAAAAACTGAAACAGGAAGTGCTTCTGGACCAGTGTTGTTTACATCTTTTGAAATGGTCTATATGTAAGGTCGGAGGAGTTGGATCTGGATCTGAGGGGTGGAGTTGGGTAGGTTTAAGGGTGGGTTTAGGGATCAGGGGGTGGAGCTGGGTAGGTTTAGATATATGTAAGGTGGGAGGAGTTGGATCTGGATCTGAGGGGTGGAGTTGGGTAGGTTTAGGGATCAGGGGGTGGAGCTGGGTAGGTTTAGATATATGTAAGGTGGGAGGAGTTGGATCTGGATCTGAGGGGTGGAGTAGGTAGGTTTAGGGGGTGGTTTAGGGATCAGGGGTGGAGCCTGGGTAGGTTTAGGTATATGTAAGGTGGGAGGAGTTGGATTCTGGATCTGAGGGGTGGAGTAGGGTAGGTTTAGGGATCAGGGGGTGGTAGCTGGTAGGTTTAAGGTATATGTAAGGTGGGAGGAGTTTGGATCTGGATCTGAGGGGTGGAGTAGGGTAGG